TATCTTTTCTAGTAACTTATTTTATTTTGCGAAAAAAGCGAATTACCCTTTCCTTTACTTTTTTTAAAATTCATTCATTATATAAAAAAAAATAGTCGTTTATAATATATTAAATAACAACAATGGGTGTGTCTGTATCAAAAACTTTAGCCAAGATCTTTGGCAATAAAGAAATGCGTATTTTAATGCTTGGTCTAGATGCGGCAGGAAAAACAAGTATCCTTTTTTTTATTTTCAGAGCAAAATAAGTTTCATATGTGCGCGCATGTATATTCAAATTTTCAAATTGCATGAATTTGATTTAGATGTTTCATAAATTATATCCATATAATACTATTTACACAAGTTCATTACATAATCTATTTCTTTCTTGTCTTTTTTTTTTTTTTTTTTGAGAAATTAAAATTTATTTCATCTTAGTATTCTGACTTAACCAATTCAATCCTTCAAAAAGACCTTCTCCAGTTGTAGCACATGAAGGATGAACATACCAGGCTCGATCTTTCATACGGTGTAATCCTAATTTTTCAGTTACTTCAGTAGGTGACATTGCTGGTAATGATAATTTAAGCGTTAATATTGACTAATTAACTAATTAATTGATTGATTGATTGATTTGTTTGTTTGTTTGTTTGTTTGTTTGTTTGTTTGAACTTACCGGTTGGTAAATCTTGTTTATTGGCGAATACCAATAATAAACAATCTTTCATTTCACGATCAGAAAGAATTCGATGCAATTCTTGTTTAGCTTCATCAATTCGATCACGATCTTGTGAATCTACCACAAATATAAGTCCTTGAGTTCCTGTATAATAATGACGCCACAATGGTCGAATCTTATCTTGACCACCTACATCCTATCATTATTTATATGTTGTAGATTAATTATGATTGTTATATATAAAAGAAATAAAGTTTTTTCTTTAAAATATCCTTCAATTAAATAACTTCTTGTCTAACATAAAATTAATCAATAAGAAACTAACCCAAACATTAAATTTAACATTTTTATATGTAACTGTTTCCACGTTAAAGCCAACAGTTGGAATAGTCGTCACTGATTGATTGAGTTTGAGCTTATATAAGATGGCTTAGTAAATTTTTGTAATAAAGTTAAGGATTATATGGATATATTTTATGAAACATCTAGATCAAATTCATGCAATTTGAAAATTTGAATATACACTCTCGCA